CCTCATTGGCTCCTCTACCACTTGGAGATAAAGTCCCTCTGTTGAGTACAACTGTTGATAAGGTGAAATCTTGGCCCAGCAAAAGTTAATGAGGGTTTTGTTGTTTTCTTCCTCAGGCCAAGGAGTTAAAACTGAAGTCTGCAAGGGCTTACACTGACTACCTTTTCACTGTTATAACCATCAGGGGGCACATGCAGAAAGCAAACTTAAGGGGAAAAAAAAGTGTCCCTTTCAGTCAGAATTGAACTACTTTCAATGGGCATCATGGGGTAATATTTGCTGATCATTCATAAATTGAGAATTTTATTTACAGAATTTTTAAGCAGCAAACATTAATATCTCTATTTTTAGACTTAATGAGTTTGAAGAAGCCGTGAGATCATTTGACCAGGTTCTCAAACTAGATCCTGTTTCTGTGGATGCCTATGTTGGACGAGGAAATTCGTACATGGAAAACGGACATGAGGCTGGTTGTAAACAAGCACAGAAAGACTTTTTGAGAGCAATTCACCTGAATCCAAAGTGTATAAAAGCCAGAATTTGCTTAGGATACAACTTGCAGGTAACACACCAAAATTCATTGTCAATGCTATGTTTAATCAAACAAAATAACATCAATCTTATATGCATACATTTATATAATACATAAAATAATAATAATAAACATAAAATAATCCATGTACTTTAAACAAGGCTTATGGCATCTTTCTTTTTAAGTAAATGGGTAGATTTTCTTTTCAGTTTTGTGCCCAATCATGTTGGAGTTCTGCTCTTGAATAATGGAATATCAACCTTACACTCATTTGACTTGCATATATAGTTCTCTGATAAACTAACATTAAGAACTGGCATGTTTTGTGTGTATGAGCTGTTTACTGAAGTAAAAAGCAGCCAAAGTGTTGAGAAATCTGTGTAAAACAAAATCTTATATGTCCTAATTATCTAAACTACACTATTAGCAAATCTGCTAAAATCCCTTGGTAAATCCCCTTATATATAATGATTTCTGAAAACAACTTACCTACACAGAAAATGAACTTCTATATTAGCAAAGGCATATCAGATATGACTTGACAGTTTTTGTCTGTGTCTAATTTCTGTCATTTAGTTACTGTGCTTTATTATATCCAGCTGTGTGAAATGTCTTGAATTGTCATGAATCTTGTTGCGAATTACTTTGTGCCAATGTAAATGTTAGTAGCCTGTGTCACGTAGTCTTGCATAAGTGTCATGCAAATTTCCTTTTACATCTTTGCCAATTCAATTAAATTCTAACTAATGCTTTCACAGTTCTTTGGGAAGTACTGTGCAAGAGAAAAAAATGGAGTGACTCCATTGATGAGTAGGTAGGAATAAGACGTAGGTAGGAATTAGACATCTTAGGTGCAGGAGGCAACCTAGAAAGTTCACACAGTGGCAGGTGCTTAATTTCTGAGAGGCCTAAATCTCACTAGATGCCTTCTCTTAAGCCTTATTATACCTTTTGGGGCTTAAACATAGACATATGTGGAGAAGTATTTTGATGTGGGGAACTAGATGATTCACCTTCTATCTTTGCTTAATTAATATGTATATTAGGTAAAACGTTTACATTTTGCCTGTGGTCCCAAGTGGCCTACTTGCCCAGAATTAAACACTTTCTTGACTATGCTAAGTCATTCACAAGGTACAGTATACCAGAGTTCCATTTGACCATCCAGGGGAGGTACTTTTGCTGAACAACCTAGTGGTTTAATTTTATTGCTATGTGAAATCCAATATATAAGTCTTCAGGTCACAAGCTCATATATAGCCTGTCAAGAGTTGAATCTGGTGAGGGACATAAAGGTCAACAAGAAAGGCTTCTACAAGTACATCAGTAACAAAAGGAAAATTAGGGAAAATATGGGCCTGCTGCTGATGAGATGGGAGCAGTGAATGTTGTTTATCTCAACTTTAGCAAAGCTTTCACTAGTCTTTCATAGGGTCTTCATAGAAAACCTGGTGAAGTATGGTCTGGATAAGTGGACAGTGAGGTGAAATGAAAACTGGTTGAACTGTCAGGCTCAAAGGGTCATTATTAGTGCCATGAAGTCCAGATGGAAGCCAGTCAGTAGTAACGTACCCTCAGGGGGTCAGTAATGGGTCCAATACTGTTTAACATCTTAATTAAGGACCTGGATGATGGAGTGGAGCGCACCTTCAGCAAGTTTGCAAATGATACAAAATTGGGAGGAGTGGTTGATACACCAAATGGTTGTGCTGCCATTTAGAGGGATGATGGGCTGGACAGCCTGGAGAAATGGCAGACAGGAACCTCATGAAGTACAACAAAGGAAAGTGAGAAGTTCTGCATCTAGGGAGGAATAACCTCATGCACCACTACAAGCTGGGAGCTGACTGGCTCAAAAGCAGCTTTGCAGAAAAGGACTTGGGGGTCCTGATGGACAACAAGCTGAAGTTGTCAGTGATGTGCCCTTGCAGTAAAGAAAGCCAATGATACCCTGGGCTATGCTAGGAGCAACATTGCCAGAAGGTCGAGGGAGATGATCCTTCTCCTCTACTCAGTACTGGTGAGGCCACATCTGGAGTACTGTGTCCAGTTCTGGGCTCTCCAATATAAGAGAGACATGAACATACTGGCACTCTTCCAGAGAAGGGCCACTAAGATGATTAAGGAGAAGGCTTAAGGGGGAGTATTACAAATAGGTATAAATACCTGATGAAGGATTATAAATAAAGTGGAGCCAGGCTCTTCTTAATGGTGCACAGTGATAGGGCAGGAGGCAATGGGCACAGACTGAAATACGGGAAATTCCATTTAAACACAAGAAAACTATTTTTTTTACTGTGAGGATGATCAAACACCGGAACAAATTGCGTACAGAGCTCGTGGAGTCTCTATCCTTGAAGATATGCAAAATCTAACTGTACATGGTCCCGGGCAACCTGCTCCAGCTGACTCTGCTTTAAGCAGGAGGTTGGCCTGGACGATCTCCTGAGATCCCTTCCAAACTCAACCATTCTGTGATTCTGTGATGTAGAAGAGGTAATACTTGCAGTTAAAACAGTTGTGACAGATACATTATGTAGTTGGAAAGACAATGAGTATTGCATAATTAACAAGATATTTGAAAACTAACAGGATATTTGAATTCATTTTTTCTGTAACTCAGTTAACTGTGTTTGTAAATACAAGCATGCTTCCATTCTCTGCTGTAATTTTTTAAGTGGGACCATTAGTACGTTTGGCATTTCTTATGTTTCTTATTGTGGACACATTGCAATTCATTTTAGGCTCTTGGAAAGCTTCAGAGAGCATGGAGCCAATTTACAGTTGCTATTTGCTTTGATCCAAAATGCCATGCTGCATATGATGGACGAGCTTCAGTCTGTCTTCAAATGGGTGAAACTTTTGCTGCATTTCAAGATACAAATGCCGCACTAAAGGTAGAGGTTAGCTTAATTTTACTATGCTATGAAGTCAGCCCATACTGTACATTAATAGTTGCCAATTTGGATTAGAAGATGCAATTCAATTTTTTTTAAAGTAAATGTATCTTTGAAAACCAGAATAAATTACTGTAGAAGTGTAAATTTTCCCTGAGTAAGAATGCATCTACATTTTCCTTTCAGCTCACTACCACTGCTCCACTGCTAACAAATCGGGGTGTCATCAATCAGTTAATGGGATATCTATCCTGTGCCATGAAGGACTATCAACAAGCAATTTCTGTTGACCCAAACTATGCATTAGCCTATTTTAATGCAGCAAATATCTACTTCCATAATCGACAGTTTTCACAGGTAAGTCTACAGTCTGTCTTTATACTGTCTTCAGAACTTTTTTCCTTGAGTAAATACTGTTGGTATAAAGCTGTCTTTATCATTAACATGAAGCTTTCTTACATTGAATTTCATGGTCCTTTACCAGGAGATGAATTAATCTGTAGTAATTAATAATAAATACTATGCGTTTTATCATTGATATGAATGAACTAAGATTCATGACAGCTAGGATACACATCACAAAAATTTGTAAATAATTGAGATACTGATGTTCAGTAACTTCCCCCCCTAGCCTAACATTAAATAACTTGCCCAGATTCACTATAGCACCAGGACAAGGAGAATCAAAAGAATCTCCTGCTGATGAACTTTAATCAAGAAGTCAGATCTTCCTCCTGTTACCACAGTAACTTTGGAGTTTTGAATCACCTAATTCTGCTTAAATATGGTGGGTATCTTCAAATACAGAAGAGTTGGATACTGAAATTCCTCTTGTGAGAGAATTTGAAATCTGCTTGAAGGCAAGGACCATCTATTTTTCTCTGTGTGAGGAGGCCCCTATAATGATTTTTCCTTTGGTCTTCTAGTCACTTTTCATGGGCATAGGCTCAGGCTTTTATTTGATTGGAGCTTTGTGGTACAGCAACTGTGGAAACCCAGAACCAGCATGTATGCTTCAGCACATTTCATATACTTGAATTAATTCTCTCCTAGAGTTGCATCTGTAAACACTTCAGCTTGTAGTTTACTTATTAAGGAATTCATCGTGTATAGTACAGGCTTGGCATACAGTTTCAAATCTAGATTGTACTTCATACAGCACAAGAAATAGATAATGTAAGAAAAAAAATTAATATTCTTGTATATTTCTGTGAGTTAGATTCCTTGTTGTTCTTGAGTATTAGTTAGACTTGGGTCAGAAATTCCTTAGGAATACAAGGTCAGTGCCCTGCATATGGCTGCTTCTGTGATCATGTAATCTCTTTTCTTATGCATCTGGTATCTTTCTTCCATGACTGGTCCTGTTTAGGCTGTTCTTCCTCTTTGCTGTGTTTCTGTGACTCCTTACTGTCTCACAGAGGCTGTCTAAGTATGAAGAAATAAGTTAAAGAATAGGTGTTGCATTATAAGTTATTTTCGATGTTAATTCAAATTGGCCTTAATGTGTAGCTTATTTCTTCTGCTATAATTACGATTAAGCATAAACAGCTGTTATTTTTCAAAAGTCTGGGTGGTGATCGACCTTTTTGTGGATAAACATGCTGGTGCTGTGTCTCTCTTTTCTGTGCACAAAGAACGCTGAACAGAACAAGTAAAGACTTAAGAATACTAATGGCTTAAAGAAACAAACTGGAATTTACAAGTTGCACATAAGCCTTTTCCTTAAATTTTAACAGTGTACTTTGTCTCCAATTCATGTGTTTTGTAGGCCTATTGCTATTATTCCAAGGTATTACAACTTGACCCGAGAAATGAATCTGCTGTTATGAATCGTGCTATTACAAATACATTACTAAACAATATTGAAGAAGCAAAAGAAGACTTTGAGAAGGCAATTTGTCTCTGCCCATTCTCTGCAGCAGTGTATTTTAACAGGGCAAATTTCTATAATGGATTGAAACAATATGAACTAGCTGAGAAAGACATTTCAACAGGTAATCTTTATTTACCTGTCATGATTATGTTGGGTAGCATACTAACAATTATGATAACAATTATGATGTGGAATGGAAGGATACAGGCTATTTAGGAAGGACAGGAAGGGGAGACGAAGAGGGGTGTCACTCTCTATGTCAGTGATCAGCTGGAGTGCATGAAGCTCTGCCTGAGGATGGATGAGGAGCTGACCGAGAGCTTATGGGTCAGGATTAAAGGGAGGGCAGGGACAGGTGACAAGATAGTGGGGGTCTGCTACAGGCCACCTGACCAGGAACACTGAGCGGATGAAGCCCTCTATAGACAGATAGGAGCAGCCTCACATTCATAAGCCTTGGTCCTCATGGGTGTCTTCAACCGCCCCAATATCTGTTGGAGGGACAACAGAGCAGGGCACAAGCAATCCGGGAGGTTCCTGGAGTGTGTTGATGATAACATCCTTCTCCAAGTGACAGAG